AGTGGATTGCATGCAGAAAACCTGAGAATGAGGTCATCGAAGTAGTAAACTCTTAATTCATAAGTTGAGTGTCAGTGTCCTGCTTGTGTTGAAAACAGTGTTTGTAGTTTTTTCCACAGTATGTGGGGAAAAATTTAAAAATTAGGGGTTTTATTTGAACTGCCTAAAGGAGATTACAAGGAAAGAATGAAATAAGTTATTTATTGTTGCTTTGTTTGCATCAGGTACAGGTAGTTGGTTCTGCAGTTATGTCCCAGTCATGCTTTACAATTAATATTGCTTCACTTTCTGCATGTGGAGCTACCTGAGTGCTCCACTGTCAACGCTACTGGAAGTTGTAGTGAGATCCTGTATGTCACAGGAGGTAATGTGTTAGTCTCACTGAATACATCAAGCAGATTGCAGGCTGAAGAGCAAGATGCTGCTTAATTACTTAATTATCACCCTTTTTTTTGTTCACCCAGACCCTGTTACAGTTCCACATTGCTAAAGAACTGCTTAGGGACAGACTGTGCTAAGAAAAGTGCAGATGTTGTCTTATGTCAGTGCTGTAATTTCTGTTTTCTTTTCTCACCTTATGTTGTGAGAAATAATCATCTTATTACTTCAAGTACTTTTGGTCTTTGTTTTCTTATCACATCTTGGATTTTGATTTGAATAGCTCTGGTTTTTAGAAAAGGGACTTCACCAGTCAACAGGTACTGATTGATAAATGTATGTGAAGAGTTTTGCAGTGTGTTCAATGGTGTGACTTTTCCTTGGGTACACTTTGTTGCTGTAGCAAGCTCTTTGAATACACAAACAGGACTTCAGTATCACAGAGTTAAGTAACTTTCCCATGAAGAAAGTGAGCATTTCTTCTTTTGGAAGTAAAACTGGGGATGAAGCACTTTTAAAACCTACTTCTGAGGAACTAGTTGCAATCGAACATCTTAGTAGTTAGGGTGAAAGTGATTGTGAGAGCCAATGAAGCACATCTAGAGAAATAAAACCTTTAGAACCTTAAAAATTTGGATTAAAAAACCCTCTATGAAGTTAGTATTATTAATTGAAGTTAGTATCTATTAGTCTGTATATGAGGAATTCCCCGAAGGAAACCTCTCCGTTGGAGTAAAAGAACCCAGGGTCAGATGACAGTTTTGGAAAGGGAGCACAGTAATGGCCCTAAATGCACAGTAATGGCCTCTTTGGTGTTGAAAAGGAGAGCAAGGTACCAAACATGTATTTACCAGGGCCTTACAGTGAGCTGAAAATCAAAACAGAATTGTAGAGGAACATGGAAGTAGGTATTGTTAGGAATGGATATAAAATAATAAGTTTCTGGAAATACTGTGAAATCACATTTGAAAATGGGGGAAGCTAAAGGGAAGTATGGTTCCAGTGCATAACCACATGAATAATGGAAGAGTGAGTGAAATAAATGAGGCTGAAATGCTTAATAATTTTGTTTTCTAGTTTTTAAATTATTGGTGATCATGTGGTCACCAGCACTATCACAGAGCAATTTCTGTTAGCTATTAGGGCAATGAAAATATAGGTCTGGAATATTTAAATAAACTAAATCTAAATTGAGATAATGTGATGATATTCATTGTAGACTGGCTGTAGAGTTACCTTAAAAAAATATCTGAATTCATAGTATTTGAAAATGATCATGGTCCATAGGACTCTACATGAATGGAAGTCACCTAGCACATTTAGAAGGAAGGCCTAAAATTCAGAACAAGTTAGAAAAACATTAATAACAAGGAAAACTTTGAAATAACTTACAAAGCACTTTAAAAGCCTCAGTGAATGGTTTAGGACAGGTTCAACAGATGTCTCAGAGGTAGCACACCCAGTGTTATCTTAGCTCAGAAGTGGGGAGTTACAATCACAGGCTCTTAGCTTTGAGTCAAAAGGAAAGTTCTTTTAGCAAAGGTAACTTCCTAGCTAGACCTCTTAGTCTTAAACAGTAATATTTTTACCACCACATTTCTTAAAACAAAATTTGTGACCTTCTGTAAGTGAAAATAATGTTTACCCTTGGAGATCTTGCCATTTTCATCCACAACTGGGGAATTTCCTTCTAATATAAGAATACACGGGTTTTCTGTAGTGCTTTTGACAAAGACATAAATTTTTTTCTTTCATGTTGCTTTATCTGTAATGTAGGGCAATAGAGAAGTCTGCTTTATTACATTTTATTTGGTTTTCTCAGATGGGGACCACTCCAAAATACAAAGAATGGTAGGATTACATGCAACTAAAAAGAAAGAAGCTTTTTCAGACTTTTATTTCCCTCCTTCTATTCCAGTTTGAACTTGACTATATGTGATCCGTATTTAAATTTTAGTAGGTAGAAAATCTGAGCCCTGACTGAAGCCTGAGATCTGTGGTAAAACCATTTTTGCTTTCACTGTACAATTGTCTTAGAATCATAGGATAATTTAGGTCACACCTCAGTAGCCCAACGAGTATTTCAAATGATCATCATATTATAAGCTTTTGTAGCCTTAGAACACTGCTTATGCCAGAAATATCCTGCCTCCTATATTGCTGCTCTGGAGCTTTAAAATGCAAGGTTTGCAGAAGTTGCCACTCACTAGCATTAGGTTTAATAGTCAACATGAGACATTGCATTAAGTGGCAGAGAATGTGAAGTGCATAAATGAAAGCCCATTTTCCTTAATCCCTTGCTCCAACTTTTCCTTTATTCCCTTTGAAGTCCAAAATTCCATGATACTTCCTGTTGCCCAACTATTCCCTTTTTAGCCAGTAGTTTTGGCTTGTCCTTGTGTCCTTGTGTCCTTATTATGGGTACGTAATTTGCCTGGTTGGCAAGTATATGTGTTGGTGTTGGCCACTTAGAAGACACATCTAAGTGTTGAAGTCACACTTGCCTTTCCAAGTTGGAAACACTTAACGTGTGTGTATTTTCCCTATATCAGTTTTTCAGGCTTCTACTGATTTTTCAGAGGGCATGTAGAAACTTTATCTTTTAGATATTTCTGTTCTTCTCTCAAACTGGGTTGAAATTGGCCAATAAATCATAGCTTGCTAAGGAAAATAAGTACAGAATGCAATTCCAAAAAAGTTTTGGGAAACTGGCTTTAGAACCGTAACAAGCATTAATCCTGCAGCTCTTTTTTAAAAGTGGTGGAAGAAACTCCAGAGAATTCACATAATTTCAATTTACTGGTTGAAAGTTGATAGATGAAATAATTTTGCAAGTCTACAGCCAAAAATCGAAGTCAAATCTGAGACCTGAAACCATGTGAAGACGTGTGATTGATAAATAGAGTGTACACAGAAGTGTAGCACATAAATGCCTGGTTTTCATGGTAATAAGTTGGTTGTGCTTGAGAATCACATTCAGCTGTTTGAAACAAAATCTGATGTCATTTGTGTGAGCTTAAAAGAAAAAAAAAATTATTAGCTCTTTAAATCACAAAGGCTAAAGCAGTATATTCAAAACCAAAAAAGTGTGTCTTACCTGTTCCCCCTTTCTATGGGACTTGTCACAGTCATAACCAAGTGAAGTAACACAAGGGCAAGAAGTTCAAGCATAAAAACGCTTGTATCCCATTATACCATAGGATAGAATCCCTTTAAACACTGCAAAGATGAAAAGTTATGACAAAAGCAGAAAAGAAGAAAATAAGAGAGAAAAGGAAATTTTGACATTTTAAATAGGACTTAGGAGGATGCTTAAAAAGTAAAGTGGAGCTGGGGAAGTCTTGTCAGTGTAGTTAAGACGGAGAGGTAGTATAGAAGAGATGTGGAGGAGGAAGGTACCTGTGCAGTGAATAGGTAAAACACGGGGAAATGTTCCTCAAAAATAATGTTTCTTTATCCATGTCTCTTTTTACAAATATGTAGAACACAAATAACTGATAAAATAGTGTTTATTGCCCTGTCATTCTATAGCTCATTGGCCTAAATATCTCATGCTTGTGCCACAAATGTAAAGCTGTTTAGTTAATATTTCCATGGCAAAATCCCAAAGCATTAATGAAATTTTAATTTGTTCTGGCAAGTTGTGCATTGAAAAAATATTTTCACTGGGGTGTTATGGATTAATTTACATAATAACTGGAAAATATTGATAAACGGCTTGCTAATTTTGTAATATTTTTTTCTGCTTAAGTTTTCTGCGTCTTGGGTAACTTTTATAATTTTTCCATTGGAATAATATCTATTTTTTTCCATTTGCAACTCCAGGTTGTCTTTTCTTCTTCTGCCAAAATAATTTCCCCTGGTAACTCCCAAGTTTTCCTGAACTGTAGCAAGTTATACTTTTATACAATATCAGCTTTTTTAATGCCCAACCAGTCTTAAAAATTGTCCACTGTTAGGGAATCTGAAGAATATTTTTGTGTGATTGTATTGTTGTTATCTGATTACAGTAATTTACACTTGTATGACCTATTGATCTGTTGTGGGATCTGGAGTACCCTGATAGGTGTAATAATGTATTAAAAATAATAGCTTTATGACACATTGGATGTCAGAAATAGTATCTGATGGAGAAATCTGTTTTATGGGATACTGCAGACCTGTGAGATATTTAAGAGCCCTCTAGATATTTCAATCTTAGATTATCTTGGTCCTGGCTAGCTAATTCATGATTTTGTACAATAGACAAGAGCAAAACCAGTGACACTGGATGTGCATCTGACAGTACTACTACTTGACCACTACTAGTTTATTTAGCACTAATAAATCTACTCACTGTTGATTTAGATACTATTTCCCCTTTTATAATTCACAGCTAGTGAAAGTCTTTTGCTGCTTTAAAGATACAAACATTTTTCAAGATTTTTTTTTCCTCTTACCACTATTTCAGATACTTTCAAGGAAGAAAAGAATAACCCACACTTACTGGAACAGGCTGCCCAGGGAAGTGGTGGAATCACCATCTCTGGAAGTGTTAAAAAACGGGGTGGATTTAACACCTGGGGACATGCTTTAGTGGTGAACACAGGAGTGTTGGGTTAGCAGTTGGACTAGATGAACTTGGAGTTCTTTTCCAACCTTAATGATTCTATGATTCTCTTTATTACTCACATAAACTGCAGACCTTAACAGGTAGGTGAGCTTTTACATTCAACATTCTCCAGCTTTTGCCACTGATGAACTCAGTGCAGACACAAAAATTGTTTTAAAGGCAGCTTCTCACTCCTTTTTAACTGCTACTAGTGTCTCAGGAGATGATGACAGCTGTATGGAAAAAAATAGCATAGAGGGCAATATTGTTATGCTTCTGATCTTAATGTTCCTCATATGTGTATTACTCATAAAATATGAAAGTGTACACCATAAAGTATTTCTGTTGCATTGCATTCCCACAATGATTTATCTAGCTATTCAATAATTAGAAAAGACAGTTACTCATTGGCTTTTTTATTTCTTGGCTAACTTGAAAGCCAGAGAGATTGCCCTTCCTCCTACCCCTCCACTCATGATATCTTACAGGTATGAGGACTGGGATGACTTGAAAAATGCCTGCTGCACTGACTGTGCTTAAAATAAGAAATATTACTGGTGACAAGCAAAGGGTTATTTTAATATAGGCAAAATAGCCCAGTGTCCTTTCCCTGTGTAATCCATTTTTATACCTTCTCTGCCAAGTCTGAGAAGGAATTATTTTCTTAGAGTAGAGCTTTGCTGAATCAGTTGTCAGAGATGTTACTGGACAAACACTTTAGGGTTACCGCTGAAAATTGCATGAACTCACCATCTCTTAACATAAAATCTTGAATTAAACAAGGGATCCATATCTCTCAAAGAGATTTTTAAATTTATAGTCTGGAAATTGGAATCTTAATGACGGCTAGTCCAAATTTTATATATGAGCAGTGAAGGTTAGTTTGAAGAATAGAAAAACACTCCATATTAAAAGAAAAAAGTTGTCATACAGGTTTTACTTCTTTTTTTTTTGTCTTAATTTTTTGTCACATAAGCTCACAACTTTAAAATAATTCTGCACTAGAGAAGCAAAACTTAAGCCAACTTTCCAGTTCAAATATTTGATGTGAACTCTTACTCGTTCTGTAATATTAAGTCCTGATGTAGAATAGGTTACTTTTTGTAAGTGGAAATGCCTCATGTTGATGAACAATATATGGATTAAGAGCAGTATTAATATTATGGTGGGTCAGGAAAAACCCCCAGTTTTCAGAAGGGGACTTGAATTTTAGGGTAATGTTTGTAAAGCAGCATATAGTAAAGGAAATACTAAGTCTGTGTTTCTTCTGTGTTTATGGGAACGCATTGTTTTTATGCTTGTGTTTGAACAACATGATAACTCTCATAAAATGGAATACTGAGATCACTTAGGATAACTCTCTTCCCAGGCAACTGGATTTTTGGTATCAACTATTAAAGATATTTAGGCTACCATCTTTTAAAAGATTCCAGAATTAATCATTATAACCACTTTGCCTTTAATGTTCTAGTTAGGTTTTTATCATTTTTATGGAAGGCGGATGTTAGAATTTCTGCTTGTACTGAGCAACTCATATGTTTTGTTACCATCAAATGATAAGACAGTCTCATCTATAGGTCTTTGGATTACTTGAAGAGGCAAACAGATGTTTTCTCAAACATCTAAGTTACTGAGCTGTTCAGAGTGGCTCTTAAAGAACTTCCAAAGAACGTAAAAATGGTTTTTCTGAAGAACAAGTAGTGATGTTTTGACATAACAACATGTTTTACAGCAGTGCTTTATCACTCCAAAGTTTAAAACCTCACAGGGATTTTTATATGTTTATAAATACACTACTCATTCAGGATCAGGAATCAGAACTCCCTGAGGCTGCAGTGGCATTTCTGGTCACTGGAGCATATTTCACTTCCCAAACTAACCCTTAAAGCCAAACATAGTGCCACACTATCAGCATTTTCTATTGTTCTTTGTGTGTACTGTGTACTCAATGTACAGAGGTTCTGATGTCTGTGTAAGTCACTTCTGAACTTGGCTTCATGAGCCACTGAGTTCAGAAACAGACTGTGATGAAGTTAGATGTTTGCTTTGACTCAATATTGATTAACATAAAATAACTAAAAGTCTCTTTCCTTTTTTTTTCCCTCACAATGTTGCACACTAAACAGAGTTGAAAAACTTCATATAGGTATAGCTAGAGGACAATGAAAACCCAAATTGTATTTAAATAAATATTTAGATTAGCTCTGTTTTTAGTTCTCACTTTCTGTGCATACATTTGAGAGATGTTTTACAGATGTTTTGTAAGCCGAGGACTTGATTTTTTTATTTTTTTTAACCTTGTGATGTCAGGTCTCTCTCATGGAAAGGAGTTGCAGTTTGGGGAATCCATGCTGTTTAATGTATACTTTGCATAATTTTCATTTAAGGGGATTTTCTTCCTCTCTTTTCTTTAAACAATGCTTTAGTCTTTAATATTACGAGAAATTAGTTTCAACCATTCTTTGCACTTTAGCAGTAGAAGCATTAATATCCACTGGGCATTGGTAGATGCAGTTGTCACCCATCCAAGTAGGTCAACACTATGCAAGACAAAAATGTATTGTGAAGTCAGTATGACACAAAATGTTATTTTTTTTTATAGGCCTGGACCATGTCCAATACAAGAGTAAAACAGTTCTGTGTCTTTCTGACAATTCTGTTTTATATAGAGATGGACATTGCCAGTCATGCCCAACAGAGCCATATAAATGGGATTAAGACAAGCACACCATTGCTGGCTGTCTTTATGATGCAAGGGTTGATAGCCAGTCATTTTATGGTAGTACAAGGGCTGAGGTTCTGACTGATTTCCTGAGTGATATGGCATTACATTTACTGCAATAATTTAATTTTAAAACCACTTTAAAATATCAGTTTCCTAAATGATAAAGAGTGTTATTGCTAACACTCTCAGGCTTAAAAGTTGAAACTCTTGCTGTTCTTTGATCACTTGAAATGCTAATGTGTTCAAAGTATGTACTTAGAAGTATTTTCCATATAAATGTAACCTACAATATGATTGCCAATATGATTTTTATGTGAGTGATGGAGTATGATAGAGTGACCTGGGGCATTTGGCCAATAACAGTTTTTAAAACTGAAAAATATTTCACTAACAAAAGTCTCTAATTCATATAATCTTAGACATATTAACTCACTGACCAGCAATGCTTAGCCCTCTATGCACTAATCAGAAGGAAAAAAACAACAACAAAAAAAAACCCTCTTTGAAAATAAGTGAAAATAAATTATCATGCTTCTTTGTTGTTGTTGCTTATACATTAAAGACTTTCAGAAATAAAAGGTTTTGGATAGAAAATAGTAACCTTTTTTCAGTTTCTTGATACTCAGAACTGCTACATTACTGCTTATTCTGTTTATCCATGCTGTAGAAAATAACATCATCAGGCCAAAATTTTTTTGCCCTTCTATACTTCGTCTGAGTTTCCTACAATTCAGATGAGATAAACAAAATTTAAACCAGTAGTGAGTTCTGTCTGAGCAATTATTTCTATTGAAATAATGAATCATGGAGACAAATTTCTGGGAGAAAATCATAACTAAAAAAAAATTTAAAACTACAGTTACAAAAGACTAAGTCTTAGTTAAAATACAGACAACTATTTTTATCTGTACAGTTAATTAAGAATTAAATACTACCAGTATAACCATATATATTAAAAAATGTTCAATGTAATAGAATTAATAATGAATCACAGTTGAAGGCCTCCTTTCCGACTGTTTTTTCCTTGGGAAATACTTTTTCTTGTATTCTGTTTACATACTAATCCATTAGTTTTGTTACTCAGGTAGCAGCAACATTTGCTTCTGTGTGCAAATAGGAGACTAATGTGTGGCCTTATGTCTGTCTTCAGTAAAGGATGGTATTTGGTAGTAAATGTCAGTACTTCAAAAAAAAAAGAATGACATCAACTTCTGTAATAAATATTGTAATTGAGTTAACTTTGTGTTGCTAGGTGTTGAAAATCTTTTGGAAATATGGTATATTTTATGATTTTGTGTTGTAGATGAGACTTCTGAAACTCAGCTTTGCAGCGGTGGGAGAGCTGACTATTTATTCTGGTGAACAGTGGATTTCCACACTGCAATATTCACCTCTCTTGGTAGGGACTGATAAAAGCTTGAATATTCATAGTAGGATGGAAATGTTAAGTTTTCCAGAGAAAAATAAAGGTTTTTAAATTTTTAATAGTTTTTAATTAGAACTCTGAAATAATTAATTTATGCAGTACATGTTTAACTAAATACTAATATTATTCAAACTATCACTGTAATTTGCTGTATTTCTCATATTTGTTGTATAGCCAGTGACTTAGAAACCTACTTTAATTTCTTTCTGAAGGCTTTGAAATTCCATTAGTGAGTTGCTTAAGGTAACTGTAAATGTTAAAAACTGCCTGCTGTCAAATAAATAGGTGGGAGTATAAGTTTTTTTCATTATAAAGATGTTGAACTGAAGTTCCATCCAAGCACTTATCTGCTTTCAAAATTGGAGTTGATACATTTTCTCCTCATGAATTCTACAGGCCTTTTTACACCACTTTGTCAATTTAGAAGCAAAATATGTAAGTGGAGATTTCTTCTGTTAAAAGTGCTATAGAAAACTGAAGCTTTCTGTGCATACCTAGGGCAATGGAGTTCTCTAAAGGAGCAATAAACTCATGTACTAACTAATGGGCTTTCAAGTGAGTAAATTATTCTTTCATGTAAAGACATACCAGCATAAAATAAAGTGGAAAATATGGAATTTGGGGTAGAAGAGAGGAGAAGGTGTATTTGTTGTCCCTCACCATAAAAAATCTAAAATAACACCTTTCAAAAATACAATCTTATGCAACGGTATTTATTAAAAATTTATAGGCAAGGATACAATTTATTATTTTTTTTTACATTTGCAATGTATTTCAGAAAGAAGATTTTAAATGGATTTAAATTACAGAAGCAGAGACTCGAGACATTCAACCTTAACTCAGCCCTGTAGTGACACCAGGAGGAAAAAGGAAATCTTTATCTTCTAGAATCACTTTTCTGTAAGCTGGTATCTTGGTCACTAAAAGGCTTTTATCATGTCTTCATGATTAATGTATAGAATCAGTAACAGGAGAAAGCTGATGCCTCTCATGTCTGTTCTTCCATGTTTGGAAATCTTTTACATTAATCTTAAATCAATATGATTTTTCATATTCATGTACTGCTTTGTTTTACCCATTTTTTCATATTATTTTAATAGCTTACCTTTTGAATTATTGATAATTTTAATGAAATCTTAAGTTTAGAAATACTTTTGTATTATGTGCAACACACAGATATACCCTCAGATACATCTTACCTCTGCTAGATACCCACATGCAGAATTTTTTGCAGGAGAATGGAATATATTTTATATGTTGATAATGATCTTGCTTTACCCAAATCTTACTTCATGCTTGCAGTCATGCTTTCAAATTTGAATACCTCTACTGATCATTTATGAGGTCAAATGTATGAAAAAAATGTTGATACTCAAGTGATTCAGGGATTCTGAAGGATATGATATTACTCAGGTGACATTAATGTTTAATTTCCCAGGAAACAGGAGTAGCCAAATGGTATTCCTCTGGCCAGCATTGTTCAAGGAGCATGAACAATGTTGATATTCACGTTAATTAAAAATGTTTTCCTCCTATAGACTGTGAGGTTTCTTATTAGAAGCTTCTTATGCTTTCCTTTTCAGTTTCCCTCCCATAAAAGGGGTTGGTTGGGGCAGAGCAGGGAAGCACACTCTTCTGTCTCTTGTCAGATCAGGGAAAAGTTTTGAGTCCTCGACTGTTTTCTTGGCTTTTGTTCTCCACATCTCACAGAAGGAAGATATTTTTTTTTTTTTTAGTTGCTGCTAGAAAGACTTGAATTAGAGAAGATTAAAACGTCACAGCAGGAGCTCACGATGAGGATGGACAGCTAGAGAGGGGAGGTTGGGCAGTTTCCAGTCTATTCTGCAGTTATGAGGGCCAGGAAACACTCTGGGTTCTACCTTCTCTCACATCATCCTGAGGTCTCTGCCCTTTTCTTCTTCAGGATCCTTTGGCTCTTCATAGCCACTGATAATTTAGGCCTTCTGCAACGAGGCACAGGGCAGGAAGGGCTTTGGAGAAGAAATGAGAACACTGGATCAAATAGAATAATGTATAAATTAATGCATGTGATTTAGTGTGTGGGTAAAATACCAAACAGGCAAATGTTTGGTCTTGGGCACAGTCCAAAAATCTATTTCTATGAAATGTATTCTTTTTATGGTGATAGTTGTTTTGGGGCATGCTATCTGTTGATCTGCAGTGTGCTTGCTTATTATTTTTAAAACAGTTTTTGCTCTGTAGATTGTATTTATGTAAAGCTCTGCTTCTGGGTAAAGCTCTGCCTCTGGGTGCCCAATTTCAATATGAAATTTCTATTAATGTTAAGGCTGTTAAGTTTAAATATTACTTAGCTCCTAAGGTGGTACGTGTGGAACAGTTCTCCAAAACAAGTGGCAAATTTCATTGGAAAGCCGTGACTGACAAACATAATACAGCTCAGAGATTGCTGGTTTACTCCATATGCTTTATGAGGTGCTGCAAAGTAATTTCCAAGATCTGTGAAGGAAGTCTAATAGATTGATGCAGTAAAAGCTTTATTTCAGCAAAGAGGTTAGTGAAAAAATAGGTATATTTTTTGATTCAGCAATGAACTATTGAAAATTTAACTTGAAATAATTGAATAATTGCCTGAACTTCTCATAAATAATTAGTATTCTTTTTATTAGCAAGTAATCACTAGCAGTTATGCTTTTCCAGCACTGTCTACTGCTTTATTTAATACCTCATAAGCAGCCTCCAGTATGAAAGTCTTGGTTTGGAAACTAAAGATATTAACAAATAAAAGAAGATATACTACTGCTTTGACCCTAATACAGTGTATGTATTTTAGAATTGTAGGAAAAAGTCTAGGATAAATAGCTAAATTAACGTTTTCGGGATTGGAGTATTCCTTGTGGACTAAGAAATTTTTTACTTTCTCCTCATTTCAAACAGTGTAATTAGTGGCTCTGTTGCTCTTTTGAGAGTGGCCTTTCTATGTAACTGAGTCAAATAATTCTTTTAAACTTTAAACCTACAGCTGTGACTTAGCATATTCCAAGCCAAGCCTCACCTTCTGCTTTCTCACAGTCTTTAAAAGCTTTCTTAAAAATAAATAGGTAGTGAAAATAGAATTTAGCCAGTCTGCCTGCCCCCGTCTCCAGACTAGTTGATGAGTCAGCCTGACCATCTGCATCAGATGGAAAAGCACAATTAGCAAGGGTAAATGTTGTGTGTGTTCTGATGAAATGACAGGCCCAAATGGTCTTGCTCTGTCCCTGAGCAGCTTCATGTAAACATTGCAGAAGAAAGGCAACAGAGTGGAATGATGAAAAACCAACCTGTTTATGAGAACCCTCTGGGCAGAGGAGCAATTGTCGGACATCACCCTCTGAGTCCTCCCAGAGAGGAGAGGTCATTACACTGATTTCTGGCCATCCTTGCCAGTGTTCACAGATGAGTCAACAAAACTTAACGATTCACGTTAACAGGTTGCTGACAAATCTACAATAATCAGCGTGGAAACTTGACCTCTGTTTTTGCCAAGAGTAGATCATAGACCAATTAAGCCAGTGTAGACTTTGTACCTTACCTAGGCTGGAAGCCAGATTGAAAAGGGTCATGGAAGTCAGAGATGCCAGATGGCATAACAGCTGTTTAACATAAACTTCTCAGTCACCTTCTTCCCTACAGGCAGTTTAGACAGAGGATGACAATTGATAAAATTACCAATACTAAGCTGACATCTCAAAGGCAGGTGTGTAGCTGATTGTTAGAAGAATGCTTTTAGCATCTTAGCTTTTCCTGTACTGATGAGAAAAATAGAGTTGACAGCACTTCTGATAATTCGATTTTGTATCTTACCTTATTTTACCATGCCTATCAGGATATGGTTAAAATGTCCAGAATGCTTGGAATGTATCCCTGTATTTATTAGCACTGCAAATGCCTTTTTTTTTTCCTATTATTATTTCCTGTTGACAGTCTCATCTTGAATCACAAATCTACAGCTTCCTTTAACACCTGGATAATTGTATTAAACTGAAGGATATCTGCTGGATACTACTTTAACTTTTTCAGTTCATCTGGATAGTACAAATCCATCTTTTTCTGCCAAGGTGGAAAACAAGCTGTTAAGTCACATCCATGATATATATGTTAGCATTTTGCCAAATTAATTAATTGATAAAATTATGGATAAATTATAGGTAAAAATGTGTCTGAGATTTTTTTTTAATATTTATCCATCCCAAATTTTCAAACACAGAGATGTTTACATTTCAAGAAAGAAATAATCTAATATATTCTTCTGTTATCATGGAAAGTAGATGTAAGTACATTCTTAAGAAAGTACATTCTTATGAGTAGATGCAGGAGTATTTCTTCTGATGGCCTCTGTGATAAATAATCAAGAATTCGTTGAGTTTGAGATGACTTGGTTTCTTTCATCCTGCTGCAGTCTAAGGTGTTCTCCTCTGGAACTATCTATATAGTTGGTAAATAAAGCTGTATTGCCCCACAAGCTCCAAAAATTTAGAGCTCTAACTGATAGATGCATAAGGTCATCAGTGCAACAGGCACTTAAACTGTAATTTCTAAAGTTTAAACCTCTTTAAATCTTCTGAAAGAGCAAATCCATTAGGCCTTGTGATCCTCAAGCTGAAAAGAACACTGACAAATAGCACTGAGTTCGACCTGAAATGTAATAAGGGAATAGGGAGGGTTTCCTAACTCTTATAAAACAGCCTGTTGATTAGAAAACTTGCTCAAGAAGTGGAAAGTCAGCTTATAGAATTTCCCAACTGTGAGGGAGAAGGGATCCACCACATCCATTAGCTGTGGAAGTGTCCTACCTGCACAGCCTGTGGGGCTACAATTTGGACCATTCTCCATCTTCTCATAATGGGTCACTAAGTAGAAAGAGATGTAAACTGGGGTTTGAGGACTAAGAATAAACCAGAGGAAGCTGGATCTGTCAGCATGAGCTCATTGTAGGCAGTCATAATTTCAGGGATTACTTGTGAATTTGACAGATAAAGGAATACCTAAAATGCTCAAGTAGCACTAGTAGTGAAGACCTGAAGGCAGGAGGTGGCTCTAATCCAACCAGAAGCCAGACTGACGACATACTAATGATGACATTAATAAAGGCCTGTGAAGCTTTCTGGATTAATTTTGGGGTTTCCTTACAGTTACTTTTACTGTAGAAAGAGGTTAGGGGTTTTTGTTTTGTTTTAAATATCTGATGTATTCTAAAGTTTTCCACTGAGTAGCATGCATAGAAATGGAGACACTGGCAGATGGTAGACTTCTCTATTCATATAGGTCATACTTAGATACAGTTTTTATTAAAGAAACCTCTACCTACTCAACTATATTTTTGGTAGGTATTCTGCTTATATTGCTGGACATGAATTTACAGAAATCATCTCCATCAGAGAACAAAAGTGATTCCTATATGGAAAAAGGAAGGACAAGAAGGCCGAAAGACATTTGCTTTCTGTCTGAGGTGGTACAGAAAAGCAGAAAAAAACAGTGACTTGCACTTACTAGTAAGGGGAATTTTTTCCCCCTTTAGACTTCCTTCTAGACTTAACATTAAACTGTAATAATTTGAAGAACTACAGAACTCTTCCTTTTCTCTAGCTATCAGTGGCATCCTTGCAAGACTAAAAGGGAAAAGAGTGATTCAACCTGATGATGCAGGAAGCTTTAATTTGCTTCTTTCCCTTACTTTCCTGTGGAGCTAATAGGTATCAGAAAGGAGCCAGAGATGAGAGCTTTTGCACATGTGAATTTATGTTTTCAGTATTGCCTCTGTGTTCAAAAGAAAAATGACTGTGGGACTCTTTTTTTGTGTGATGAGCTTTTGTTACATCAATTGAGAAAGGAAGTAATCACTTGGGAATAGCTACTTTATACAAGTTCAAAGGACTCCC